TTGTAAGGTGAAGCTCCTGTAAACACAAGACACATAGACTTGCTCTCCCCATTGAACTGGATGTGAAAGCACATGTATTTTCCACTTGAAAGTACTGCATAACAGACCCCTTCAAATGGGCGGGGGGGGGGGAATTATTCCCAGGCCTATTGTGATAGGGCTCAATCAATCCAGTTCAAATTACTGATTGAAATGCCAAGCATTGCTTTGAAAGACGAGGTGTCATTCCTTCATTCCCATAAGCACTTACCGGGCATTGCACAGATAATAAAACTTTTAACTGTATCAATACGATTCTCCCGGGGGTAACCGCAGACAACATTCCTGTAAACTGCATTGTTGCTTGGATTTCAGCAGATGGCACTCTAATAAAAATGCAAATTTTTTGAAAGGCAATTTGTTTAGTCAGGCGAAAAGGTCTGAAACCTAGGTGTGAAATCAAAATACTGTCAGAAAAAAAAGTTCTTTCTGGCAGCACTAAAAAGGGGGGAAATAAATGCATGCAGCCTGCTCACCTCTGAAACAGCTCTGGTATTCTACTGCATTCACACATTGGTAAGCCAGCCTCTGGGTTGCTGAGACATGAATGTGTGGACTCTAAGAGAGGAGCTTACTGGTCTCTTTCTCTCTCTCTCTCTCTCTGCCATGCTAAGCTAAGCTTGGGAGAAGCAAAGTGGCTGCAAGGTCCCCAGAGCAGTCCATACATTTATGCGGCCTGCATAGGCCAAGGTTTGGCTGACTGTGATGGGTGAACCAGGCCACTGTGATCATGAGCAGGAAAAGCAAAATATTTTGTTTGAATGAATGCTAGAGGAAATTAAAAGGGATGCAGGTGGCGCTGTGGTCTAAACCACTAAGCCTCTTGGGTTTGCCGATCAAAAGGTCAGTGGTTCGAATCCCCGTGACGGGATGAGCGCCTGTTGCTCAGTCCCAGCTCCTGCCAACCTAGCAGTTCGAAAGCACACCAAAAAGTGAAAGTAGATAAATAGGTAACGCTCCGGTGGGAAGGTAAATGGCATTTCTGTGCACTGCTCTGGTTTCAGTGTTCCGTTGCAGCAGAAGCGGCTTAGTCATGCTGGCCACATGACCTGGAAAAACTGTCTGCGGACAAACACCGGCTCCCTCGGCCTGTAAAGGGAGATGAGTGCTGCAACCCCAGAGTCGTCTGCGACTGGACTTAACTGTTAGGGGTCCTTTACCTTTACCTTTTTAGAGGAAGCTACTGGTGGAACTTCTTAATTAGCAGCATGCCAGATGCCATGTAATAACATGTCGAATTTGAAGCAAGTGCTGTCGCTGCTGTTGGGGTACAGCATAGCACAAAATGGCAGCAGGGGGAAAGACAGGGCCACAACATGGTCTGGGTATGCCCTCTCCCCACCATGCAAATAAAGCACCTAAATCAGCCATGGCCACTTATGATCACAGATAGAAGCTCTTTCAGATCTCCTCTGATCACAGTGGATGGAATGGTGGGTTCCGTCCCCGGCATCTAATGAACTGCGGTTATGTTTAAGAGGTGTGTGTTCAGTGTTGGAGAGGGTCAGCCACTGTAAACAGGATCTGAGCAGGGAGAGCAATCAGTCTCATATGCAATGTGGATTTTTAAGGAATGATTACAGCACCTGCACCTGCTCTTGATGGACTGAAAAGAGCTAGCTTCAGTTTCTAATACAGATATAAGGCTCATTTGAGAGTCTTCAGAAGTCATCATTTAGCCTACTTCCCTGGATGGCAATGAGGATGAAAGGAAATAATATATTGGACAAATATATATCATTATGCTTTCTGTGACAGGAGTACTTCATGCTTTAAGATCTTCAGAGAAGCAGCTCTGGGGAGTGAGGCAGTAGTGCTACGCAGGGCCTTTTTAACAGTGGGCACAAAACTTTGGAACTTCCTCCTGGGGGAAATGCAATTCTACCCACTCTGATCATGTTTTTAATGCTACAGGAAGGAATGAGGTTCTTTGAATAAGAAGGTAGCACCTTCCCTGTCTGTTGTACTGGTTTCTTTCTTTATGCTGTTTTGTTGTCATGGGCGTAGCCCCCCAAAATCAAGTAAATCAATAAAAATACTTAACTAACTGAGGTTCTGCCTCCCCATGAAGCCTCCCCACCCCCCAACATAAATCCTGGCTATGCTCATGTTTGTTGGTGGTTCTTTTTACTGCAAGTAAAAAAAGTTTTTATCATCTGCTTGTTTGTTTTGATAGGTTGCTTTTTAAAAATTTATCCATTTTTTAAAAAAGTGCATTTGATTTTAATGACATCAGGCCATGTGTACATCCTTTCGGCTGGGAAAGGTGGGGCATCAGGGTATGAATATTCAAATCCGCAAGTGAACACAAGTGATTAAACAACTACTATACAACCTACTGAGGTCACTGAAAGAAAAGTGGGTGTAAATGTAATAAATACAATACCAATGAAGCCCTTGCACACAGACCCCACGAAAGCCACCTTTACCCAAAAATAGAGAGACCTGTGTTTGCAGCATTACGGAGAAGACATTTCATGGCTTTCACGTTCATTTCTTTTAGAAATGTTGGGGGGGTGGTGGACTTTCCTGAGGCTACCAAGGTCATAGTACAAAGATTGAAGGCAAACAGTCTGGTTCTTCTGTCAGGTTTACATAACCAGCTTTGATTTTTCTCATCACAAACATCCAGCTGAATCATTGTTTTTGCTCTTGCAGAATTCCTCTGTCCCCATACAATGCCATGGATGCTTTAGACCTGGCCAAGGATATCAGAAAGGATATTGCTTCACCCACTCTCTTCCACAAGCGGTGGAAAAATTGGGGCAGACTTTATTTCAGAGGAGAACACACTGGAGACTTATGGCTTTGTTAAAATCTCTTTTCTCACTGTTCTCAAGATACCCTGTGGGTAGGAACACAGAAGCGAGAGCACATAAGCAGGCAGTGCCAGATTCACAGGAATGAAGTCATATTCATAGCAAGCACTTTGAAATCAGTGGGTTTAAGTTTGTCATCATGATGAACAAGCCCATTCTTTCAGTGAGTCTACTTGGGAGTATGTCTTAAGATACCACTTCAAAGGAAGAGCAGCAACTCTAAGGCTTCAGTGCACACTTACATGTAAGAAAGTCCCATTAGACTCAGTGGGAGTTACATCTGGGTAAACAGCAAAGGATTGGAAAGCGCAAAGCAAAACATTTTCCTCCAAAAAACTCTTAAGCTCTTCGTGCACCTAAGGAGCATGAATTTCCCCTTCTACCCTACAGGTGGAGGTAAGTTGGTCACCATGGTGATCTGCCTGCCAATAAATAGCCGTGGTGAAAAGTGGGATAGGTGAATGATCAATGTGTAAACACCACACAAGCAAAACAGGATGAAACCAGGATGAATTTAATTGTCATATAACAAGCAAATCAGAGAAAATGCTCAGTAACAAGTTTATTCTTCTTATTTATTAAATTTCTATATTGCCCTTCATCTGAAGATCACAGGGTGGTTTACAATATAAAAACACAAAAACCCACACCATACCCTCACAGTTTAAAATGCCATAGATCAGTGTTTCCCAAACTTAGATACCCAGCTGTTTGGGGCCTAAAATCCCCATCATCCCTGATCACTGGTCCTGCTAACTAGGGATGGTGGGTGCTGTAGTCCAAAAACAGCTGCAGACCCAAGTTGGGAAACCCTGCATAGATGGTTTAGTCAAAGGCCTGCCATATTGTCTGGTGGAGTTGCAATGCCAAGTCTGAAAATAGGCCTATAGAATTAAGCAGGAATCACCTCTCAGATGAAGCAAAGGCAAAGGGTTAGAGACTAAGGGACAAAAGGTTTGACCAAGTATTTGACTAAGGGCCAAAGGGTTTAAGGGCAAAGGCTTTGAGACTTGTCGGATTCCAGTTCCCAGCAAGTTGTTGCTCTGCAGACCATGTGTGGGGAACCTGTGGCCCTCCAGGGGTTCTTGAACTCCAACTCCCATCAGCCCCAGGCAACACAGACCAGGGTCACGGAGGGTGGGAGGTGTATTCCAGCAATGTCTGGAGGGTCACAGGTTCCCCATCTCACTGGATAGTGAATAGCAGTACAGCAGAACCTTGGTTTTGGACTTCTGAGGCGTGTTTGAAAACGGAAGCATTCATTTCCAGGTTTTCGGCATTCGGCTTCCAAACATTTGGCAGCCAAGATGTTCGAAAACCGAGGTTTGACTGCACAATCAAAAGCCATAGATTTGGAGGTAGAATCACAGAATTGCAGAGTTGGAGGGGAGCCTGAGGTTCATCTAGTCCAGTGGTGTCCAAACTTTTTTCAAAGAGGGCCAGATTTGATGAAGTGAAGGGCCATGAGGGATGATGACCAAAGGGCCGACCAAAGTTGTTAACCTTTTTTTAGGATTGAAGTTGTTGAGCTTTTTTAGGGTTTATGTTGAGGGTTTTTTAGGATTTTAACCCAGGAAATAAACTGCCACAGGGGCCGGATTAAACTGACCAGCAGGCCAGATTAGGCCCCTGAAACGGACTTTGGACATGCCTGATCTAGTCCAACTCCCTGCAATGCAGGAATCTCAGCTAAAGCATCCATGACAGGTGGCCACCCAAGCTCTGCTTAAAACCTCCAAGAAAGTCCACCACCTCCTGAGGAACTGTTCTAGATCAGTTCCCTGTGGGAAGTCCAGATAGAGCATCTCCACCAGACGTCCTCAAGCAGAAGCTGAAGAGCCATCCACCAAGGAGCTACTTTATACTATGCTGGACCAAAGACCCATCTACCTCATCATTGCCTGTGGGTCTCCCGGGTTTCAGCCACGAATGCAGGTGCTGCTTAACTAAAAACTCCCATCCTCCATGGCCACGGTCTGCGCTGCCTGGGGCTGATGGGAGTCGTAGTTCAGCAACATCCGGAGGGCCGAAAGTTCCCCACACCCTCCCCTAATCCACCCCCACGTCCCACTCTTCTGACCCTTGCCCTGAAGGCTAAACCTCGACGCGTAGGGACGAACGGCTGTGCCTGCTAAATCGCGCCAAGAAGTACTCTTCACATGCTCAGAGGCGGCCCCGCTTTTCTTGACGAGCATATAAGAACCAACCCCAACTCAGGCGCGACCTGACACAGGTACGCGGCTTGGGAAAGGAAAGCCGCAGCTCGGCGCGCGCCTGGCGACTCCCCTTTCAGCCGGACGCATCCACGGGGCAGGAAAGGGGGGAGCCGCCTTCCGCACGTCCCGAACAAGCCGCGCAACGAGCTTCCGCTCGCTTTACTCCGCCTGATCCCCTCGACGAGAAGCGTCAGTAGCCGGGCGGGGAGGGAAAGGAAAGGTGTGGGAGGGCGGCGCGCCTCCTTTCGACGCCCTCGCCCGCTGTCTCTCTCCCCCCCCCCCCGCGCCACCGCGCCGCCTTAGTCCGGCCCTGCCCCGCGCCGAGGTTTCCCTTTGCCCTGAGGGACTGCGCTGTGCTGCTCTTGCTTCGCGCCGGGAAGGCAGAGCCGGCGGCCGGAGGAGCTGGGCGTCGGGAGGCGCCCGCAGCGACGCCGCCAGCGGCAGCGCGAAGCCCGGGCCATGAGGAGCCGCCGTGACTCTCTAGCGACTCCGCGCGACTCCCTCGCCGCCGAGGCCCCGGGGGATGCCCTCTAGGCGCGAGGATGAGGCAGAGCAGGGGGCAGCGGATGGTCCTGGCCACTTGCCTGGGCTCTCTGCTCCTCGTCGTCTTCTACTTCCAGAGCAGCTCCAACCCAGGTGAGTTAAACATTCACCCCGCAGGCAAAGGTCCTCGACCCGGCCCCGCTCGCCCGCCCGCCCTCCGCCGCCGCGCCTCGGCGCTTCCCTTCTCAAGGCGTCTTTTCTTCTCCCCTCTCTCTATCAAGTTTGGGCTTTGCTGGGTGTTTGGTCTTCCCAGCAAACTTCGGTAGCTGCTCCTCTTTTAAGGTGACTCTTTCTAAAAGTCATCTTGGCAGCAGCAAACCCAAGAGTGCAAACCTGGCAGCGCCGCTGCAACGGGGTCTACTCGGAAGTAAGTCTCAGTGAAGGCAATGGGGCTTACCCCCGAGTATATGTGGAAGTAGGATAGTAGCCGTGTTTATTTTAACTTTTGAGACCACTTTCTCGACCGCTTCTCCAAGCGGTTGGCAGAAGGAAACCCAACTCCGGAATGAAATCATTAACATTTAAAATCCATTTCCATCCAAGGTGCTCACACAGGCATGCCATGAAATAAAAGAAAAATAACCCAGCTAGCTTGAAAACAAGATCCAAGTTGTAATTTAATATTAATTAGCTTCCAAAGGCCATGATAAACAATTAACATTTTAAGGGCTTTATTTAGGTTAAATGTGTAGGGTTGCCTCCGAACACAGCTTCCTTTCTGGAAATTGTTGTCCTATAGTTGTCTGAGAGAAGGAAGCTGCCCATTAAAAAGAGGGGAGATGACTGAATGTAATGTCAGGTGTTTTTTTAATTAATGAGTCTGTCAATCAGCTGTTGGTTTGTTTTTAAAATGATACTCTTAAAGGTGGGTTTAAAATAGCCACAGGTCAATAAAAAATGGTGCAATTCAGTCTTTATTCCTATGCATGCCTAGTTGGGTGTCAAGTCCCATTGAACTCAATGAGAAAACATAGGATTGGATTTACACAGCAGCTTTGAAAAATAGAGTAGCTGAACAATGCCCCAAACATTTTCAGTAACTTCAATACATTTGAGCCCATTGATTTCAGTGGAAAATACTTAAGTGTGGGATTCACTTTCATCCTGAGTCAATGAAGAACAGAAGGTCAATACCCTGAGAAGGCCTTTTTATGGTGTGAAGATAGAAAAGCAGCTTCCTTGCACTGAGTCAGCCAATTGGTCTATCTAGTTCAGTATTGTCTACACTGACTGGCAGAAGCTCTCAAGGGTTTCAGACAGGAATTTCTTTGAGTCCTACCTGGAGATGCTGAGGATTGAACCTGTGACCTTCTGCTTACAAGGCAAATGCTCTACCACTGAGCCACAGCCTTTCCTCAAGTGGTTTCTAGGTAGGCCTTCCTGGGCAGTGACTTTGAGAGAGTAGAGGTTGCGTTGGGGAAAGTCTTCATTCCAGGTCCTACTTAACTTCCCTGGATAAACAGAGGATCACAGAGGAATGCAAATGTGCTGACTCCTCTTAAGTAGGCCTTCAACTTATTTCTTTAAGCAAGTCACAATGTTTTTTGTTGGACCATACTTCCAAGTACCGTAAATTTATGAGGATCACAGCCTTGGAGGATTAGAGTCCTAAATCCAGATTTCATTGAAAAAAGAAAATACGAAGCAACTCTAGATCTGTGAGATTAGCCGTGCCTTCTGTTTGTGGAAACATTCAGTCAGATATGTGCTGAATTTTCTGAACCGCAGCATGGGTGCATCTTAACGCCAGGTACATAAAAAAAACTTTAGTAAGCAAATACCAACTTGCTGGAAAATCCTTCTTAAGTGGAATCAAAGAAACAGCCCAGGGCAACTCACTCTGAGATATTACATATTTTCTAGCTAAGATCATGTTCTTCATCGATGCACATTTTTGCAGTGGGTTGTGACACACAGACTATGCTTACTGCAAACAAAACTGTGTTTTAAAGCTGGTCTTGGCATGGGTACCAGTGTGATGCAGTGCATCTGTAGCAGAGATGGAACTGACCGTGTGTTTCCTCAGGTATCCCGCAGAATTCAGTGGTGCTTACTCACAGGCAGCAGGTAAAGGATATCAGAGTGGCTTTGTGCCTGCTGCTTTTGAGCTTCTATCCTAGCAGGGTGTTGCTCCTCCCCACAAAGAGTGGTATCTACTGCATAGCTATTTTCACCAACTTGCTTCCCTTTTGTGCTGAACTACTTCTGGTGGTGGAGAGCAGCACACCGTAACAAAATGGTGCAAGTGAGAAAGCACACATCGTGCATTCAAGTTGAATGGTTCTAAAATAGAGGTAGTTTCTGAACTCTCTGTGCATATATACATCAGTGGGCTAAAACATGTTTTTATAGAAAGGTTATCAGACGTCCCCATTTCCTGGGGACAGTCCCCGGATTTACAAATCAGTCCCCTGACAAAATCCATCCATTTAGTAGGGAGTTGAAAAGTGTCACTGGATTCATTGAAAAAAGTCTGGTAACCTTATTTTATAGTAACCTGATAATGCTATATCTAGCAGATTATTAGCCATAGCATCAGTCACATCTGGGCAGTGTGGATGGATTGAATCCTGAAGATTCTAGCATGGAGAGAAAATGCATGGGAAGTCCTTTCAATGTGGAGAGCGGTCCCCATTCCATTCCCCACTGAGAATGAATCTTCTCCATCCCACAATAGCTCACTGGCCGTACTGCAGTTCATCCTATTGGATGAGGTTTTACCCCTTCAGGAACATGCACACAGCACACTTCTGGAGCTGGGAGTCTGTGCACAGAAATGTATTTCACACATGTTTGACCTTAGCTGCATCTGACTTCAGCAGAACAATTTGGAACCAGTGTAAATTCACACCCTGTATTTATGTTCTGAGGCCTGGGACAGAAGTCGTCCTTGAGATGGGTGCAGTCCAGGTAACTTTAAGCACATGTTCAGAAGCACTAACCTACTCTACTCTGTCTGTTACATTGCTTTCAATGAGGCTTAAGCACAGCGCATCTTCTGTGTAAGGGGTAAGTCCCATTGAGTTCAATGGATCTTGTTCCCAGATAAGTGTGTATATGATTGCAGCCCTATTTTTTATTTTTTAAAGGAGGGCTAAAAGCTATATGACTAGAAGCAGGCGTTTCAGTGAATTAGGGTTTAACTTCTTTGACTCCTGCTATATTTAATGAGCTATTTCAAGATGTTCTCTGGCTGTTTTATGAAGGCAGCAATTTCTCTTGTGTAATGAAAGCATAGATCTTTTCTTTTCTGGAAAGTCACGGCCCAAGAATTCAGATGATGGATGATGAGGCTGTCAGCAGCGAATAAACTCTCACAGAGGGCCCGCTTGAATTAAAAACTGAGTCAAATTCTGTGGCCAGTGAATTGATAGATTAATCTCCAAATTAATGTTTTCTGTTGAACAGCCAAACAATGCGAAGCCAAGAAGAGTTATAATTTTCTTGCATGTTTCCTGCACCTTTACTAGAAAGTATGTTGCTTATTATTTTCAGAGAAACATGCGTGCATAATGCTTATGATTCAACAATATGCCAGGGTCCTGCATGGCACTCTCAGCCAACGTTAAGTTGACCTAAATGTTCACAGATTTGTTTTTTACCATGATGGATTGAAAGGTGCCATTTCCACTTTATTGTGTTAGTTGAAAGTATAGAAATTAGCTGGATGAGTATCCTAGAATTTGAATAGGTCACTCTGTGCTTTAAACTTATTATGGAAGTATCAGATAAGGCCTACTGGATAAGGGCTACAGTTTTGAGAAAACTGTACTGGGATATCTGTTGAGATAGGACAGCTGCCCATTCTCTGTACTTTACAAAAACAAAAGTCATGTGTATTTCAACAAACTTCCTCAGCTGGCTGAATTCTGCTGTCTGCCAAGGGTGTAGCTACCTGGTGTTGTTTTTTAAATTTATTTCTTTGCATTTATCTTTAACAGTTACTTAAGAAGTTTGTGGAAGGTGATAAATAATGTTGTTGAAGGAAAGAAAGCTCCAATTCATGACATGACTTTGTTTTTTAATGAAAAGGTAAAGAATTCTGTAAGCCACTTCCCACTAGGTTTAAAGATAAACCGAAGTACCCATTTGAGAGAAGGGAAAGCTACTGCGATGAAATAAAATGGTGCAGTTGATGTGCAGAGTGTATGGAGGAAGGTGAATGAATAGTAGGGGTGAGCGATATATCAATATATCATCCCAAACTGGTTTAAAGTCCATATTGTGATATTGGTTTTATAATTTTTGACCCAGCAATATATCGTGAATCATGATGTGTGTGTGTGCGTGTGTGCACTATGCAAAAATCACAATGTGGGGAAAACTATGAAGCCAACCAATGCTTCTCTTGTTTGCTGCAGCCTCTATTAACTCTGCCAGCTCAGCTGTCCCCTGTCTCATGCAGAGGGCAGCGAATCGCAAGAGCAGGTGCCGGCAAAATTCACGATGCAGGAAAAACCGTGAAGCCTCTGCGTAGCTCCATCCTTATTTGAGACATCATGATATATTGGTATATCGCAATGTTTCACTGATGATATATCACAATGTTGAAAACCAGATATCACCCAGCCATAATGGATAGTGGTGAATGACTAAGTTGGTTCATGTTTGCTTCTGAGTCTTTTGGAGGACAGAAGACGTGTCCCGATCCCAGACACAGGTGTAGATCAGCTGTGTTATATTAGTGCCATCAAGGCCCTTGCTTGCTCCAAAACCAGGCTGCAGGGATGTGACAACACTGGGGGAACTACACTTTGGATCCTGACAGTCTGGGTGTGGCAGCGTAGGCCAACTGATCTGTATAAGAGCTTTCTGGGAGAGGCATCTTGCCAGCTAGGCTAACCTTCGCCTGCTCCTGATGTTCATGTTCATGTCTTGCAGAGCTTTCGTGTGCATTTCTAACCTGAAACTGAGCCTTGCAGCATTTCTGGGGAGGCAGACTCTGGAGTCCCTCTAAGCTTTCCTCCTATGTATGTTCTCTTGCCTCTGACCTTGCTTTCTCTGATCCATGCTGTTGTTGTTGCACCTAACTAGTTATCTGAAATGTCCACACATTTTGAAAGTCGGTGGTTTGCCACTTGACATATTTTCAG